CTCATCGCCAAGCAACAATACTGTCTATAAAAAGAGTATCTTACTAGTGAAGAGAGACAAAAAAAAAATCCAACCTTCAGTGGGAATTTGTACTTATGTAACGGTACACTGTCTGTGGTCTGTTCCGCAGCAACTACTGTGTAACCCCTCTTACGCATGTCCTCCAAGTAACGCGAAAGGTCGTCAGGTCGAACCTAAAATAATCTTGAGAGTTTAAGCAACATTAGGGACTACAACTTGACTTACACTCTCAATCCTTTGTTTCTTCTCAGCTGACATGCTCAGTGCCTTGAAACCTGGATCAGTTGCAAATATAGGATCAGCTATTACCAGCGTGTCCACAGCAAAAATTTCGCATGTTCGACACAGACCTGAAAGTTTTTAAAACCATATTTCTTGGATTCTTTAACTGCAAGTGAAATCCTATATATTGTGTTACCGGATGAGTTCGTGCGTTCTTTTCCAACTCATGAAAACTCTAGAAATCAAAAGTTTTAGCGACGAATAGCATACCAATTAAAAGAACTGTTTCTCTACAAAAGTTAGAAGCTATCAAATGGAATACCAACTACAAAAAAAATACTTTGACACTTGTTTTTTTTTTGACAAACCAAAATCTGAATTTGGCTAAACGCTTCTCTACCAGGTGCTTTTACTGACATGTCGATTGCGAAATTCATGCTCGCACCATAGAAACGTATTTTGGGGCAGCGGTAGGTAGGTGATATCAAGATCTCAGGTTTGCATTAAGCGGTTTGAACGTCCATTCATTAAAGTTATATCCATTTCACTTGATACCTTACTGTAGATGGACAGACAACAGAATCAAAATCACTTGCTGGCTATGATGGGAAACATGCCTATCAAGCCATGACTTGAGAAGTATGACTTTCGTGATCTGGACATCACTTGAGCCCAAAAGTGACACTGCCATCGTCTACCGTATCCACTGCAACCTTTTGTAATTAGCATGCCAATTGACAGCACAGGGTGAAGTTTATGCGAGATATGAGATTGTGGGTTGCCAGGAAAGACAAAGGTTGGAACAGCCTCTTTTCTCCACCTGTTATTGCATCAATGACTTCCAGAAGTTTTAAACGGTATGAGTTGCTATAAGGTCATTTTGAAAATCTTTCAGGTTTGGAAAGACGGCACGAACTCCAACAACCTATGCAATTAGCACAAAGCGACTCCACTGCGCAACTCGCAGCAATTGAGGGCATACTTGTGTGCAGCACGTAGGGAAAGGGAAGCTGAAACTCTCAGATACGGCGTGGCTCGTCCACAGTAAAACAATTTGGAGCGTGCAGAGGAGGGAGGGAGGAGAGGGGAGGGGAGGGGGGAAGGAGGAGGGAAG